TGCGACCCGCTGTCACCTTGCAGTAATGCCTGTGGGCTAATTATAGTCAGACCTTCTAATGATTTTAGGAGCAGGCTATGCATACTTATCTTTTATATAACACTTACAAATTTAAAATGAGAGCAACTAACTTTTAAAAATGAAGCACTAAAAAGGAAAGAAAATGTTCCTGTGGACCAAAAATGGTCTGTAGGCTCCTAGAACAGGAGAACGTACTGTTTTAGGGGGTGCTCACAATTTACAGTAGTCTTAAGATTTGGGGAGAAGATTCAACTGCACTGGCCATGCTTTTGTAAACTTGGATGGAATTACCTCTCAAGACTGATCTTTGTACTGGGCAATCATAAATATTTTTAGATCATTGAAGTTTTTCCAGTGAATTTTTGACTTCATGGCTGTACAGAGGCAGAGAATTATGCATGTATTTCTGTACTAGTATTTTTTGGTTTGATACCAATGTGTCAGTTTTCTGCCCTTGCTCTTATCAGAGGAAGATAGAGGCAAATCCTCTATTTATGGTAGAGGAAAGAGCCGCACAAGGACTCCAGAGCAGCAATGATAGCTATGCTGTTTGCAAGCAAATTTCTTGTTAGATTTGTTCGTGCTTAGCCAGAGGCTCCTCCTCTCTGCACTATCCATACTTGGCAAAGTATCTGGGGTGTCGAAGATTCTCAGAAAATATTTATGCACTGAGATGAGCCGAACCATGTAAGAAAACTCCTTAACTTGGCTCTCAAAGCCGCGGCATGTGACTTCACTAGCCTCGTTAGCTCACGCCCAGTGAACCGAGGTGATGACCAGACTGCTCTATTTTCCCAGAGCACCTGGTAAGCACTGAAACATCTTTTCTTCCCAGTACCTACGAAACCTGCTGATTGTCAAACACCTACTTTAATAACCTTCCTTTCTTTGGAATCCCACTTAATTATAATGAATTTTGTTTTGTGTCTAACAAATCATAAACAACCAGTCACGCTTGCAAGAAATGACAGGACGATCACTGCTATAGCTAATTTTTAAACAGTACCCCTCAAAAAGCACTGCCTGTCTCCCTCAGCCTGTAAGGACGCGGTGTGTTGCCATGTTCTGTCCACAGCGGCATACACTACGGGGCATCCACTCGAAAGCCGGTAGAAGCCTGACAGGTAACAACACGCGTAGTTTGATGTAAGAAAACGAGGCGCTGACTGAGTACAGCAGAGTAGAATTCGGCTGCTCCCGCCCTCCCTTAAGGAGGCAACAGAGCCAGAGTTGTTAGATTTCTTTTCTTTTTCAAGCCAAAACTTTGGAAGCCAAATAAAACAGGCCTATGCACTGCCAGCTTTGACCTTGGGGATAGCACTCTATTTTCCTAGAGTTCAGAGAAGATTTTCCAAATAAAACAGCAGGAAAAACATTGGAAGTCACCAGACGTACACACTGTAGATCTATCAAGACGCGATAAATCGTATCAGGTGAGCTTTTGGGGGTACCCAGCCAAACCCTAGCTCTAAAACACTATCGCAAGGAGCGCAGCGTCTTCCCCTCTGGGAAGATTCACTTGCGGGGCTTTGTTAGAAAGAAATTATCACATCAGCTGTTGCCTGGTTTAGTTCCTCTCATAAGAATGGAAGCCAGAAAGCTACACTGGGTTTTGATCAAATTGTAACGGCCCAGAAACATATCACCATAAAAACATCCAAGTGAAATTAAAAGGAAACAGCGCTACCGTGAATTCTGATAATTTACTTTGTCAATATGAGTTTGTGCTTTGAATTCTGTTCCATGTGTCTTCGTTTTCGAAGTTCCTGTCTCTAGATACACCTTATCTCTACTGGGACTGTTCATCACAGGACTTGATGAGGGATGCAATGTTTAGGCTGGCAAGTTAGGGAATCCCATTTCCTGGATGTAATGGTTGGTCTAGAAGTACCCAATGATTTCATTTCAGAGCGAAGGATGCTGGGATGAGCTGAGATGGCAAGCTACAAGGGATGACAGAAGCTTGGATCTATGCTCACAACCCCATCAACACACACGAAAAAAATCACTTCAAAGAGGTGAGGGGAAGATGTGAGGGAAGGAGTGTGTGTGGGAGGAGCTATTCCTGGTAATGTCGCCTACCACAAACCCCATGATGTCTGACGCTACTCCAAATATTGACCCATCGGTTAACTAACTTCCTTCCTTCCTTCTTTCCTTCCATCCTCCCTCCTCCCTCCCTCCCATCCTCCCATCCTCCCTTCCTTCCTTCCTTTGTTCCCTCCCTCCTTCTCTCTTACTCTCTCTTTCATGTTTGAAACAGGGCCTCATGATATAGCTCAGGCTGGCCTTGAACTCACTATGTAGCCCAGGCTGGCCTCAAACTCACAGCAATCCTCCTGCCTCAGCCTTCCGAATGCTGGCATTACGGGCGTGCACCACCACGCCCAACATAATAAGTTACTATTAAACTTTAGTTTAACTGGTTCTTATAAATTACAACTGAAAAGCCTTGACAAATACAAGAAATACTGTGATTCATATTTTTATTTTAGGAGAATGTGGATCCAATTAAGCTAATTTCAGAAACAGGCATCTGAATTGTAAAATTACTTCCTGGCTCAACATATATTTATAATTCACATTACATATTCAATTCTTTTAAATGTACGCATGTCAGCAAATAAATATTTTTCTATCCTCAGTCAAATACTATTTCAAAATATGCTTTCTGAACTAATTTTATGAGTAATGTCATGTTCAGTACCAAAAATTTTGAGAATACAGAAAACTGCAAAGGGAGAAAAACTCAAAACTAATGTTAATTTCAAAAGTTAAGATTAAATTGTCAGCCAGCAGTTGGGGAGAGGACACTAACTGGTTGTGGGGACCCAAAGCAATGGGAAGCTGGACAGAAAAAGCTACAAAGAATGGCTTTCACCTCAGATAGCTCACTTGAGATGTTAGTAAGAATTGCCTCCTCAGTATTCTATAGCCATGAGGAGGAGGAGGCCAAGGAGAGAAAACAAAGAGACCGAGAAAAAGCAGCTGCTTTTGCTGCACCACTAAGAGAAACAGATCCCAAGTCTGATTCCCGGGGCTCCAAGAAGAACTCGACAACT